CACCTCACCACTAGACCACAAGCTCCTTGAAAATAGGGACTTTGACTAATTTTCTGTATGTGCCTACAAATTATAGTTGGCCTGTCAAAAACCCTAAATCAATATTTATTGATGAGTGAATAAGTAAAATATCACTTCTTTAAAAACTTTGCTGGCCATTCCCTAAGGTGCCTGTCTGCATTGTCTTTGTATAGGCAATTCCTAGCGTACTTTCATCCCTTACCTACAAATAGGGTTACTGTACAACTACTCATTGAGTTTCCTTCCTTTACTCTCACCCTCTCCCTAAATTCATTGCTGTGGGACTGCTTTTTACTCATCTTTCATCACTTCCTAGGATAGAACAGAATCAGTAGAAGCAATGCTGAGGGAAGGCTAAGTCCCCTTTGTAGTAGCCTTCTCACCTCCCCATCTGTGGCTTGTGTGTTTCTCTCATTCCACATCTTCAGACTCATCTACTACCCAGCAGTTATAGCCTTCTGAAACATGCCACAAATTGCTGTGGCCATATTAGGTATGTAGTTCAGTGGTATTCAACATATTCACACTTTCTGCAGCCGTCGTCACCAATCATCTCTAAGACTTTTTCATTGTCCCACACTGGAACTCAACTCTTTCCCATTAAACAGTAATTTCTTTTCCCCTCCTCCTACTCCCTGATTATTTTCTGTCTCTATTGATTATTTTAAGAATGTCATGAAAGTGGAATCATATAATACTTACTCCTTCTGTCGCTGGCTTAGTTCACTTGGCATAACATCTACAAGGTACATCCATATTATAGTATGTGTTAGAACTGCCTATCTCTTTAAGACTGAGCAATATTCTATTGTGTTTATATAACACATTTTGTTTACCCATTCATCTGTCTGTGGACCTTTGGCTGTCATGAGTAGTGCTGCTGCAAACATGGATGCCCAAACATCTGCTAGGTCCTGCTTTTTCTTCTTCTGGGTAAAGATGTATGAGTGACATTGTGGATTGCATGGTAACTGCAAATTTTGAGTACTCACCATAGTGTTCCCCACAGTGACTGTACCTACTATTGTCAGTTTCCACTAGCAACATTCACTCATTCTCTAGGCAGTGCATAAACAATTGACTTGCTACTGTGTCCCAGGAATGATGGTTGGGTTCTAGAGGCACAGAGAAACAATAGAAGGTAAAACTGTCAGACCCAAGCCATTTTAAATACTTTGACATCATAGCTATAGATAAAGCACAAGCCCCCCCCCATACCTGACTCATAAGTGGCCCCCAGCCAATCCCAGCTCTGAGGGAAAAAGTGTCCATACACCTTAGACTTCACGTTCCTCCAAAGACCTAAGCAAGGTCTTTATTTACTCAAATCCTACCTGCTGGTAATATTCTATCTTGTATTTTGATATGCAAGATTCTCCAATATTTCTTAATTCTTTAAAAAATGTAGTAAATTTAGAATAACTTATAATGTCTTTTTTTTTTTTTTGGTGGTACTGGGGTTTGAACTTAGGGCCTCACACTTGATAGGTAGATGCTCTACCACTTGAACCACTCACCAGCCCCTTATAATGTCTTTTTAATACCTGCATTCCTCACCACACTCTGGGCTCCCAGACAGAGGGATAGAGTTTGTTTTCCTGCTCTATTCCCGTTGCCCAGCTTGATGACTAGTGCTATATCACACAGTATATATGTATTTGTTGAGACAAAATGAAAATTCATATCCTCATTTAATATTTTTATATAAAACATAAAGAGATATTTTGTTTTATAAATGAGCAAAATATTATAAACTGTAACGTGCTGTTTAAACTCCTTTGGTTGCCTGGGGTTGGTCATTTGTGCATCTGTGTCCTGTCTCTCCATCTCTAACCCTAAAACTCTCTCCGTGAATCTGCCTGTCTCTCTGTCTCCCTCTGTCTCAGAAGGGTGAGATTAGAAGAGTTATGAATTAGTTTGTTTAAGAACATGATGGAAAGCAATGAAACTGCTCTTTGTGGATCAGGGAGGTTCTTGGATGGCTCTGCCAACCTTTCTTTGGCTGTAGCTATAACGCCTTGTTAGTTTACTACCCCACCTTGTCTTTCAAGGACAATTTGTGGCTGCATTGCCCCGGCCCCTCTGGAACTCACAGGCTGCGGTGATCCTTCCTCATGCCAGTAGGTGGGACTGCAGGCATGTGCTAGCATTGGGCTCTAGTGCTGCACTCTGAGTGCACCTTTCTTCATGCTCCTTTTTGTCCTTCTTTCAGTGCCTATTGCGATGCAGTCTACCACACAGTGCTGTTTGATTTTCTGCTGTATGATTTTGAGAGTGTTACTCTTGTCTTCTTAAATTGACTATGTCTTTCAAGACAGAGACCAGATTTTATATTTCTTTTCTATACTTCATAGTGCAAAGAAAATTATCCCAAATGTATTATGCCTTCATTCAGTCCTCATTACTAATGGATTGGGTTTCAGAATTCTAAGAGCAGCTGTGAACTCAGAACCATTTAGTTGGCATGACTGACTCACTTTTCCTAATATGGCTTTCTATTTGTTCACTACAACTAGTTTTTAATAATTTTATCTAAATGTTATGGCTAATTGTGTTGTATGGAATATTTTTAATAGGCTTGGCAAGGATTCTTTCACTTTTGGTCAGATTTACTGCTTGTGGCTGTGGAAACAAAGCCCTTTCCTTGCCTTACCCATGTTATCCAGTGGTTGACCACAGTTCAGAGAATTCTGGATTTTTCTTGGTTTGGAGTATATGTCTTTTGAGAGTGCAGAATTCTGTGTTTTCACATGACAAGTGCTGTGCTTCAATTCATAGGGGAGGATTTAATGAAAGAATTGGCTGGGTTTCTCTTTACTAGTGCTCCTTAAATCCGATATGTTTCCTTTTGTGCTTCTCAAAATCCGTGGGTTGTTTAAATAGATTATTTGAGCTTTTGAAGCATTAAAAAATATCTGAGCTGGGTGCTGGTGGTTCACCCCTATAATGCTAGCTACTTGGGAGGCAGAAATCAGAAGGATCTTGGTTCAAGGCCAGCCTGAACAAATAGTTTAAGAAACCCCATCTTGAAAATAACCAAAGCAAAATGGACTGAAGGTGTGGCTAAAGCAGTAGAACGCCTGTTTGGTGAGCATTAAGCCCTGAGTTCAAATCTCAGACCCACCAAAAAAAAAGGTAAAAAAAATGTCTAAAATGTGAAACATTGAAATCTGATATATATTTTCTCTACTTAATTCCATTGCAGAGCTGCTACAGTAAAATGCTGGGGTGAAACTAAAACCTTTGCTGAAATAAAGCAACAAAACAATTGTATGAAACGATGGTTTCTAACATTGAGCAATTGAAATCAGTCAAGAACTTAATGTGCAAAAAAAAAAAATGTGTTAGGTAGAACACTTCAAAAGTAGAAGAAAACAACCTCATTAGAGATTATTAAATGTACCAGTAGGATTGATTATTAAAATTAGACTCCTGATGACTAGAAATAAATTAAACTGAGATCTACTTTAGAAATTGCTGAAATCCTTGAAATGTTCAATGGAAAATAATAGAAAATATGGTTTAAACATGTTTGAAAGAAGTTGATATAAGTTGAAAAATTCCCGTATGAAATAATAAATCTGAACAGATGATAAAATATAATCTGAATGTGACCCTTAAAATTAAATACCCAAGGATCTTTAGTGTTCTTCATGTAAACATTCATTTAAGAATACTATTAAGATAAAATAAAAGCTCGTTTAATATATCTTTGTGTATACCTTCAAAAGTTGTTTAAAACTATGCTATCCATAAATATATCTACTTTCACAATAGCAAGATTTTTAATAAAAGCAAACTTAGGGCCCTGGCTGTCAACAAATTGTGTTGCTTATGGTATACAGCACTGTCGAGTGCAGATACACTAATGGAGTTTTACCGAGTGTTTTGGATGACAGGACTTACCTACAAAAATGAAACGCTCTTTTTAATAGGGTTAACGTTGTTAAAAGTACCTTACTTACTGAAAGCATCAGAGTCCACAGTACACACTGCCATGTGCACTTATCCCTCTGTAGTGTACCGGTGAATAACCTGCAAATCTTGTGTGGATTCCTGAGCCACACAGTCTGGGTGGAGCTGGAGCTGCTGTACTTCTGCCTGCAGCAGTTTGTCTAGGCTGACACCTGAGTAGTAAGGCTGTAAAGAATATCCAAAATGGAATTAACAATGACTGTGATTACTTTTTTCTGTTGTCGCTGACTTTCAGTTCTTTAATCTTTGTTAGCTTACTTTTCATGCAGGAATATTTCCTATCAAATTATTAAATTTTATTTAAGCATATAGGAAAATTAATAATTTTGGTTTGTTTCATAATAGCCCTTTAGATCCAATAATATTAAACATTATTTAATGACATTACTGTGCATAGCAATGCATTAGAGAAAACAGTACAAAGGTTTCTGGGGCTCTGGGATTTACTCTGGCATGCATTTGTTCAACTCCATGATTTACTGCATCTGAACAAATGGCAAACTCACTTAGGACAGAGGTTTTTAGGGATTCACTTTTAAAACCCAGAGTTTATTGTTTCAGTGACCAGTAGTGGAGCTAGGCTGGGTGATCTGGAGTCACACTACTAGGAGTGAAAAACACTCATGTTGATATGACTAACACCGGCCTTGATGTTTGCTGGTAGTAGACAAAGAGTTACTTTTTGTTTGATTGGTTTTGTTGTGCTTTCTTCATTTGATGTTTTTAGTAAGTCTGAAGGTGCTGTTTTTGGAAGCATGGCTCTTTTTCCCTAATATATATGTAAGACAATGTTGCACATGTCTACACTGGCATACACTGTTCACCAGCATTACAGTCAGTTAACACTCATTTAATTTGCCTTGAGTAGTCCTGGGATGTGGTATCAGTAGCCCAAAGCCATATTCAAAATACTGCTTTTAAAATAAAATTTAGTTGTTGTAAACCATGGATTCAAGCATTTGCTTTCATATAAATAGTAAAAGAAATGTTGCCTTTTGTTTTAGAATCGAGTCATTTGGAACAGCAACTTGAAGAAGCTAATTCTGTGAGGCGGGAACTAGATGATGCTTTTAGACAAATCAAGGCTCATGAGAAACAAATCAAAGCTTTACAACAAGAAAGGGAAGAGCTGAATAAGGTAAATATATTGAATAGATTGGAAAGCCTTCTGTGTTCATATTGCAGAACTAGAATACTGAAAGCATTCATAACAAATTACAATATATATTTATCTTTTTAAAAAGTTGGCTTAGAAACTTAAAGATTATTTGGGTGTATGGCAATTGATTATTAGCTACTAACAAAGAAACTTAAACTCTTGAGGCTTTAAAGTTTGGAGTCTGTTGTTCATTTGGAAAGTTAAAGACATGGTTAAAAGTTAGTGTTATAGAAAAAGAATCATGAAGAAATATGAGATTAGTGAAACTGTTCAGTATCTATAAAAATGCAGGCACATTTTCATTGTAATTTGCTGATCAGGAACCTTCTTAAGAGATCATCAACTAAAACTCTTCAATGATTTAATTATTTTTCTATGCTAGTTTCTTTCCAAAGCAGCATGGATAAAATGCTAAAGTCATTTTCATAAGGACTTTGTGTTATGCTTAAACAGTATTAGATGCATCATCAAAATTTATCCATAGCTAAGACTGTAAGGAAGGTACTTGATTCATATGCTGTTCAGCACTATGGTTTTCAGAAACAAAAAACTGTTGGGACTGGTGCTAGCCATTGCAACACATCAGTAGTTTGTGGCACAGTATAAATTGTATCCAGTGATGTGATGCATCACACACTGATTAATATAGAATGAAGTCCTTTCAAAGATTTTTTATTTTATTTTTTTGACTGGGGTTGAGGGTACTGGGGTTTGAACTCAGGGACTCATGCTTGCTAGGCAAGCTGTCTACCACTTGAGCTGAGGAAGATTTATGTCTTGCTACCAATAAGGAAATAGGTGTTAAAAATTAAACAACTTTTTGCTGATGGAGTTAATCAAAAGTACTAACAAAGCTACTAAAGACTGAATTGAATTAGAGAAGTACATTTTTACTTTCCTCTTACTTTAGTTTCTAGCAATGGTTTGTACAGATCTATTCATGGCCAATGTAATAATAGAATTAGTTACTTTAATAGTAATCCACTAATATCAATGGCTTATTAGTTTGTTTTTATTGGTAGCATTACTTGGTCCAAGTTAGTTAACATAATAAGGGTGGAAATCTGATATCTCAATTTATGTTAACAATTTTTCATAAATTTTAATGTTAAAAATCCTATTTTTATATTTTAAGAGAGGGTAGTGCTGAAACAGATTATACCAGTAAGGGATTTCAGGTGATCTGCTTAGTAGCCTACAGACAGAGCAAAGGGTTTTGTTTTCTCCATCTCGTTGTTAGAGTGTGTTATCTTTTTTCTTTTTGATAATACCCATTCTAGCAGCTGTGAAGTGGCATCTCACTGTGGTTATGACTTTCATTTCTGTGAAGATTAGCGATGTTGAGTCTTGTCACTTTCTACTGGCTGTTTGAATGTCTTCTTAGAGGAATGTTCATTCAGGCCTTTGCTCATTTCTAGTTGTGATGACTGCGTGCTCTTTTCCAGTGGACCGATTTGTAGTTCTTCCCAGCAGTGTTAGGAGTCTCTGTGCTCAATACGTTTGTATTGATAGGTGTGTTACCTTTGACCAGTCTAGTCTAAACTGAGATTTTAGGCCTAATATGATGTTTTATCATGGTCTTAGTTTGCATTTCTCTGATTACTAATGTAGTCACGTATCTTGAACTACATCTATTTTTCATTTACATTTCTTCTTTTGAAAAATGCTGTTTAATATCCTTTGTACATTTTTCTGTTTGGTTGTCTTTTTTCTTAATTGGTTTTAAGAATTCTTGAAAATTTCTGGATATAGGAATTTAGAGGCAGTTGTGCATATTAAAGATGACTGTCAGTGGCTTGTCTTTTTATTTTTACTTTTGATTCACAAACCTCTTAGATTTAATGTAATTCAATTTGTCAGTATTTTTATGGCTTGTTTAGTATAGGAAATTTGAGGCTAAAAATTGTCTGAAATTTTTTACCTTTAATTTTTTTAAAGTTTGGTCTTGGATATATATTTATGTCTTTAAGCCACCAGAAATTCATTTTCATGAATCATGTGAGATAAGGATTCATTTCCCTTTTCCCATATGGCCTCCCCTCTCCAGTGTTGTGCAGTGTCCTCTCTGCCGTAAACACTCATGGTCTGTAATCTATTCCTTGAACACTGTGTGGGAATTTTGGTTAAAATAACATTCCTTGTATGCATATTTGTGAATATTATTCTGAATGCACACACAAAGTTCAAGAGCGGAGCAGATTGGTATTATTTATGTACAGCAAAATAATAGCCACATGGCTCCCCTATGCACCAGTTTTTACCTCCCGGGCAATGCCTAGAGAATTGGGTGGATGAAATCCTACACATAAAGAGTATATATTGTGAAGGAGGCACCTCAAAACATTTTTATCCTTTTTAACATAGAGAAAAGAGGCAACTGCTCTTCCCACTCCTCTTTTTCTGAGGGTTACCTAGGAGATCTGAAGAGAATGGTCCTGGGTTCCTCCCCTGTGCCTTTGGAATATCACTGGATCTCAGCAGAGGAGAGAGGAGCTGAGTGTCCAGCTTCATTCACCTAGAGGAAGTCTCCTTGGTCCGGGCTTCTCCTATCCCAATACAATGTTTCTACCCCTCAAGGTGAATCTCTGGTGTTTTCTCACTATCTAAATTAGTCATAAGTTACTTTCTATGACTTGTATTTAGACTGGGTCCCAAATTTCAGTACAGCTTGTTCTATAGGACTGATTGTACAAAGCATAAAAATCATTTCCCTGCAGTTCTTCAGTCCATCAACATAGTATCTTTCTACCTTTTAAAGTCATTTAGTGTTCTTCCAAAAATTTCATTAGGTCATTTGCCTTTCCTTAAATTTATTATTCCATTTTTCACACCTTAAATGATATCTTTAAGATTGTTTTCTTACTGCTTTTTCTCTTACAGTTTTGTTCTAACATTGCTAAACTCTTAATAATGGGATATATTTTATATTTTTTAAAGTTTTCGGCAAACGATGATGGCTTAGTTTTCCCTTTGGATTTTATGACTTCTGTCTTTTGTGGTCTCAGTGCATTGGCTAAGACTTCAGTACAGTTTTGAATGGTAGTAGTGGTAGCAGGCATCCTTACTTGTTCCTCATTTTAAGAAAGTGCCTCAGATATTTTACAACTGGAACATTTGCTGCTATTTTTGGTAATAGTTTCTGTTGGGTTAAGAAAGTTGCCTTCTGTTCCTATTTTGCTAGTTTTTAAAATTATTAACAATGGGCTTGAATTTATTAAATATGCTTTGTTATATACCATTGATAGAATTATGTGATTCTTTTCCTTAATAAATCAATGTAGTGAATTACATTCATGAGCTTTCTATTGTTGAGCCACTGGTACATTTCCAAGTGAAGCCTCAATTGCTCTTGTGTCACTTACTAAATAATAATACAGTAAAGCTGGAATGTTGAGAAGCACTGAAACAATTCAAACTCAGCTACCTCCGGTAAGAGAGCCAGAGAGAAACAACTCACAAAGCTGCCCAGCCCAGATGACCTTTCCTCCACCCTTGCCCTTTCTCACCACAGCATGCTTAAAAACGCCAGCCCAAGAAACACTTGCTCCCGTCCCTCTCAGTGTGCTCTGACAGCAGAGGGACCCCTCAGGTCTTTTCTCCCTAACAAAGTCCTGCCTCTTGTAAAGGTTGCAAATTCTTTCTCTCTTTTGCCTTTTCTTAAGGCGCCTCAGGTTTTCCTCACTTTCCTTTCAACCCTTACACGTAGCAGGCCGCTTTCTGTTCTGATAGCACTGTTCCAACTGCTCTGTATCCCTTAGTCTGTTTAACCTTCATCACAGCCCCATGAGTCAGGTATGGTTGTTATTTTTATTGAAAAATTACAAGCTGAGGTTCTTCCCAGCACTGCCAGGACTTAGGATGGGCAGTTTGCTAACTATTACTTGGTTACTTTGTTACAGAGCTACTTACTCTATTTCTGAAAAGTTTTAATAAATTGTATTTTTCTAGAAATTTATTCATTTTGCAGTCTAACAAATTTATTGCCTAGAGTTCTTCCTTGTGTTTCTTTTTATCTTTTTTGATCTCTTATAGATTTGTAGTCACAGCTTTTTTTCTTTCCTAATATTTCTTTGTGCCTCATGTGGTTCCCTGGATTGATCTCACCAGTTGTCTATTTTAGGTTGTTTTTTTTTTTTTTCAAAGAATCAGCTTTCAGAATCAATTTTTGTTGATCCTCATTGCTGTTTTCATTTCTATTTCATTCATTTATGCACTTGCAGCTGTTGTGTTCTCCCTCTTACTTTGCAAGTGGAGTCTCATTGAATTTTGACCTCTTTCCTTACCAAGTATCTCAAGCTGTGAGTTTCCCCTAAGTACAGCTTTACTGCCTCACCAGTTTTAGTATGTACTAAACATTTTGTTGTTTTTGTATTTTTAAATTTTTCTTAGTTTAACGACCTTTCTGATTTTTCTCATAGAATTATGTTTCTCATTGAAGTATTTATAAGTATGTTTTAAATTTTTCAGTGCATGGAGAAATTTAAACATCCTTTTGTTGTTGATTTATGATGTAGTTACATTGTTGTTAAAGAACTTGATCTACATACATATATCTGCTTGAAGACTAACTTGCTTCATGGCTTAGACTTCAGCTCCATTTTTTAAATACTTCATGTGCATTCTTGAGAAGACTGTGAATTTCTAATGCAGGGCACAAATGCCTATGCATATGAAGCTTGTTAGAGAACTTTCCAGGTACTGTTTATAATCATTACTTTTTTATCTGCTTGGTTTATGTATTAATGGTTAAGAAATTGAAATTTCTGGTCATGGTGCTGTATTTGCCTGTTCTTTCTTAACATTCTCATAATTTCTAATATAGTTTAAGACTACCGTCTAGAACTCGCTGAGTTTGAGAATGGTATTTCTTCTAGTGATATTCCCTATCCCTAATAATGCTTTTTCTACCAAAGTCTAGATTTTGTTTCTTAATCTGGTATAACTCTACTTTACCTGGTGAATTTAGCTTTTTTTATGTATTTGATTGTTAGTATATGTGGATAGGTTTCTACCACTTTATTTTTGCTTTCTCTGTGTTACACTTTTCCTATGCCTCTTTTTGTCTCCTTTCTTTCCTTTAACAAGTTTTTAATTGTGGGAAAATGCATATAATATTTACTATCATAACAATTTTAAAGTAGTGTTAAGTACATGTATATTGTTGTACAGCCAGTCTTCACAGTTATTTTTATTTTGCAAAATCATTTCTTATATAAGTTTTTGGTTTTTTGTTTGGATTTTAGTTTCTTCTCTTTCTAGTCTAAGTATATTTGCATTTTACCATGCATGTTAACAAAGTATAAATTTAATATCTTAAGCTACTTCCCCCAAGCAACCTAAGGGCTGGCTTTTAATTCTTTTACCTCTTCCCAAGTTATGTACTGTTTTTGGCAAGTGCTTTAGTAGGTGCATCCTTCATTGACATACAAATTAGACAGTTTTAGTGATATAACTGCATATACACATTTCTTCACCTTCACATTCATGTTTACCCGTCTCCTGGTAGTCCTCCATTTTGCTTGTGTTCCTTCTTTAAAAACACTGTTCTTTTTCCTGAAATAAAGTTGTGGACATTCCTGTAGTGCAGGTCTGATGGCAACACTGTTAAACTCTTTGTTTATATGAAGCTTTGGATAGTAATTGTTATTTTCTTACTCTTTGACACTGTTTCTATTGTTTGTATTTTTATTGTTACTTCATTTTGTTCTCAGTCTAATTATCTTTTTCTTTCAAAGTGAGGTGTAAGTAATTTATCTTTTTGTTTGTTTGTTTCCTCTATCTGATTTCTTTTAAGGTTTTTCATTTCTCTGGTGCTACAGAATTTCATTTTTTTTTCTTAAACATTTCTGGGTTTGAGTTTCTTTTTCTTCATAAACAGAGAGGTTCTTATATTGGTGGATCCCTGTCTTTAATTCCATGTTATTTTGTTTCTTCAGATATTTCATACATAAAAATCTCATGTCAATATCTGGTGATTCTAATACCCCAGTACCTTTACTGTTTATTTTAGTGTCTGTTATTTCCATTGTTTAGTTTTGGTGGTTCTTTCTTTGAGTCTTTGGGAGTCTGTGGTTGTGAGTTCATATCTGTTTGTGTTTAATGTGTAAAACCCAAAATTTCCTTGAAGTTCTTTCCTCCAAAGAAGAAATGCTTTTTCTTTTGCTGAGAAGCAGAATTTTGCACTGATTTGAGGCCATTTTATCCCCTCTGACTCAGGGCGCCTCAGGTTTAGTTTTTTCTCCTTGGTTCAGGGCTTAGTCTTCTCATGGAGGAAGGGCACGGCAACCCTTGCTTTTGTTGTTGATGTTGTTATTTGTAATCACTCAATATAGTCTTAAAACTCTTACGCATATGGTCTTTATTTTGGCCATAGTCTCTTACATTCTTACGTTCTCCTCAGTTGTGGAAATCCAGGTTGAATCAGCTGCTGCCTGCACTTGCCATGCTAGCACAGGAGCTTCACAAGCACTTCATTTCCTTTAACGTTTTCCTCAGGTCAATAATTTTGGCTCTTCTTGACTTAATGGTATCTACTTTGATGGCCAAATTTGGTCTCTAGGTTGCAGAATTGGTAACATTTATTCTTTTTACAAAACTGTAGGAACTAGTCCAGGCTAGTGAGCGATTAAAAAACCAATCCAAAGAGCTGAAAGATGCACACTGTCAGAGGAAACTGGCCATGCAGGAGTTCATGGAGATCAATGAGCGGCTAACAGAACTACACACCCAAAAACAGAAACTTGCTCGCCATGTCCGAGATAAGGAGGAAGAGGTGGACCTGGTGATACAGAAAGTTGAAAGCTTAAGGCAAGAACTCCGCAGAACAGAAAGAGCCAAAAAAGAGGTTAGTAGTCAGGCAAATTCTGTAGTCCCATGGTAGTGATAAAAGCTGCTTTTTGAGACTAGTGGAATAAATGTATTCCACTCTTTACATTTTTGGAAGAAGTTGTTTTTACAGTTTGGTAATATTATTTAATTTGAATTTCAACATTTGAGATATAAATTCCCATAGGGAAAATACTTTTAAAAAGTGATAATCCTGAAATCTGCTTTCTTGTTTTTCATTTTATTTGAAAGCTGGAAGTGCACACTGAAGCTCTTGTTGCTGAAGCGTCTAAAGACAGGAAGCTACGTGAGCAGAGCGAGCAGTATTCAAAACAGCTAGAAGACGAGTTGGAGGGACTGAAGGTACCTCCTGACCTCATGTTCATGACACCTGATTGCTTTTCTCCTCCATAGACTCGATGGCAGTGTTAGCTAAAGTGCTCTCCTCAGCATGAGTGAGAATGCTGTCCTTCAGACCACATAGTCTTGATCCTCATTCTTACCAATAGGACGCGATAGAGATTTCTGATCATGCTGAAGGAAAGTGAAATCTCTTTAGTGGGGAGAGGAGTCTACCAGGAAGCAGTTAGAATATTTATGAAGCAGGGGGGAGAAATGAACCAAGCCTTGTATGCACATATGAATAATAAAAGAAAAAGGAAAAAAAAAGAATATTTATGAAGGACTGCCTATCTGAACAGGATGTACTGGTAATCTGCATGGGAATTGTATTCAGTTGTCCAGACATAGCTCTGCAAACACTGGTGTTAGTCAAGCTGACATGATGGTAGATATAAGCCAACACATTTCAGTAGAAGTTGCTTTGTAAGGGAACTCCTTGGGCCATCTGTTGAGTCAGACTACTTAGTTTTAACTTCTAACTTTACCAGATACTAGCTGAGCTGTGTAACACTGAACAAAACATTTAATCTCTTCATATTTTAATTTTTTCTTCTGTAAAATTGTATTTCATATCACAAGTACATATGTATACTTATAAGCAGATACATCATAAGTCCTCAGTAATTAATAGTATATAATGTATTACTTATGTCAAAAATATCAGAATTAACTTGAATGTCATCTCAGGAAGTCTAAGTACTTCTGTGCTATTTTAGAATTCTGTTAATAACCACAGCATAGCTCTTATTAACCGCTTACTTCCAGTATGCCTTCCCATGTAAACTGAGACCTAGCTTATTGAAAACATAAACACATACATTATTAACCTAGTCCTAGTGCAGGGCCAGGTCCTTTAATAGATGTGTTAAATAAATAAGTAATCAAGTAGTAGAATTGATCAGAACTTCCTGTTCCTCTGACAGTCTGTTATCAGTGGTTGTAAGTAAGGATCCTCCTCTGCTATAAATAGAAACGCAAACCTCAGATTTTATTTCTTCTTTTTGTGTTGGAGATTTGTTTTCATTGGTCGTGGATGCAGAGCCTTGGTTAGCGTTACCAAGGAGAAATATGCCTTCAACATACACCTATGCCTCTAGGGCAGGATTAGTGTAGAGAAGAAATTGCTGTCTCAGATACTTTTCAGTCAGGTCTGTTTTGTCTTAAGCACTATTCTAAGTGCTTTAGGTAATTAAAAAAAAAGAATACAGTGCAAACTGAAAGACATTTGTATCAGTTATCTTTTATGTCACTCTGACCAAAGCACCTGAGAGAATAAGTTAGGAGTTACTTATTTTGGCTCACAGTTTTGAGACTTCAGCCCACATTGGCTTGTTGGCTCTGGGCCCATGGGGAGACAGACAGCATGGCGACAGGAGCATGTGGAGGAGGAGGCTGTCTGCCTCATGGCAGGCAGGAAGGATACACAGAAGGGCCGTGCGGGAGATAATCCCCAAGGACATGCTCTTAATGGCCTGCTTCCTCCAGTTAAGCTCTGTCTCCTGCCTTTTCCTCCCAGAAATGCCACCATGCCATGAATCTATCAAGGGATCCCTCCATTCATCAGTCAGAGCCCCAGGATGTAGTCATCTTTGGAAATGCTCTCAGACACACCTAGCAGAGTGCTTTACTAATCTAGATGTGTCTCAGTCCAATCAACTTGGCAATGATAATTAACCATCAGCACTGTTGTTACAGGAATGCAGATCCAGGGGAGTTAAGAGTTCCATAGTCATGAGTGACCGCACAAACCAGACCAGGTTTTCTAAGTCTGAGTACCACATTCTGTATAGGAGTTTGCTTTTTAGTTTTTTGTCTGTAATAAACATTGCTGCATTGAAAACTCTGAATCACATATATTTACCTACTTCAGACACCCATAAATTTGAGATATTAATAGAGCCACCTAGTAAAAAATGCATTTGAAGAGCTTATACAATGGCCTGGCAATATGACTCAGTGAGTGTTTATTATGATTATAACCAGATTTTAATTTCCTTAGCATATGTCATTTATTTTACTTTTTATTTTGTGTGTGGGAATTCACATTACTTGGACAATATTATCTCTATTCTGAGTTTCTCCAGCATTTGGTATCTTATATACAATGATGGTGATACTAGGTAACAGTTACAGTAATGGCAGTAGCTACTGTTTTTGTGTCTGTATTTTATTCTGATAAGAGGAAAAAAGGCAATCACATATCAGTTCCCCCAAGACTTTTAGGCATGTTACTAATCCATGAAACCTTAGCATTTAGGAATGTCTGGCTTAAAGCAAAGGTAGGAGGTAGGCTGGTTAAGGATGGAGCATTTCTGGCTGAGGGCACCAGAGCTGGTGTGATGCTTCCCTAGCTTGATATGCATGTGCTCCATGTATGTGATATACACAGTGTAGCTTGCCCTGTGTTGATAAGGGAAACATGAAACATGTTTTGTGTTATTTGCCCAGTAGAAATAATACGGTTCTCACTAAACCTTCTCTACTTTTAGGCCTATTCTTTCCTTCAGATTTTCTGAAAGTAAGACTTCTTGGTCAAAAGACATACAAATATAATTTAAAATGCATTTTTGCCACTTTTAAAGACTGTAGAAATTTTTGCCCCCCTAAGAATAATTTTCAAGGGCTGGTTAAGTGGCTCAAGTGATAGAACACCTGCCTAGCAAGTGTGAGGCCCTGCATTCAAACCCCAGAACCTAAAAAAAAAAGAGTAATTTTCAACAAGCTTAAAGGGAGAAATAGAAAGATCTACACTAAAAGTTAGGAACTTCAATATTGCACTTCTAGTAATGGATAGAACATATAGACAAAAGATCAATAGGACATTGAGGTCTGCAACTAGGCACCATCTCCTAATAGCCTGTTCAGCTTTGAATTCATCAATGAATTAACCCACTGAAGATGTTAGTGACCTCATAATCTAATCACTTCAGCAGTGCCACCAGTGGGGACCAAGCCTTTTGGAGAGACACTCCATATCTAAACCATAACATGTCAAACTCTTCCAAAAATACAAGAGGAGGAAATACTTCCTGATTCATTTGTGAGGCCAGCATTTCCCTTAAATACCAAAACCAGATGAAAGTGTCACAAGAAAAGCAAATTACAGATCCAAATTTCTTATGAATATAGATGCACAAATCCTCAACACAATTCTACTATATTGAATCCCAAAGCATATGACTGGGGTTCTGTAGGGTCAATCAGGAATGTAAGGGAGATTCAACATAAGAAAATCAGTCAGTATGTACATCACATTAATTTAGCCAAAAGAGAAAAGTCACATGATTACCTTGTTGATGCATGAAAGTCATTTCATAAAATCCAATATTCTTTCATTAAAAAATTCTCAGAAAACTAGGGATAGAAGGGAATGTACACAACATGATAAAAAGCATTCTTTTAAAACCCACAGGTAACATACTAAGTGAGAAAAAACTGCAAGCTCCGCCCCCCCCACCCCGCCCCGGAATCTGACATGAGATCAGGATGCCCATTTGCACTGTTGCTGTGCAGCACTACTATCTATTCTAATTGGGTCATTCACACAAGACCAGGGAGGGAAGGACATCCAAATGGAAAGGAAGAACTGGAGCCATTTCTCTTGGTACGTGACATGATTCTGTATTTAGAAAATCCCAAAGAATAAGCAAGGAAAGTGCTGGAGCTTATAAACCAGAGTTGCAAGGTGTAGGATCAACACACAAAAAGCAGTTGTGTTTGTATAAACCATTAATGAATAATATGGAAAGGAACTTAAAACAATTCCATTTTATGTTAGCATCTGAAAGAATAGAATACCTTGAAATGAATTTAACCAAGAAAGTTAAAAATGTTTGGGGGTGGTACTGAGGGCTGAACTCAGGGCCTTGCACTTGGTAGGCCATTGAGCCACTAAGCCACTCTGCCAGCCCTTTTGGGGTTCCTTGTCTTTGAGATAAGGTCTCGCTTTATTCCCCAGGCTGGCCTGGTCTGCAATCCTCCTGTGTGTGCTTCCCCGCATAGATGGGGGTGATAGACACATGCCACTGGATCCAGCCATCAGTTGAGATAGGGTCTAAAAAACATTATGAACTTTCTGCCCAGGCTGACCTCAGACTGAAGGAAGTTTTAAAAAATTGTACATTGAAAATTATTAAATCTTGCGGAAAGGAATTAGAGCAAATGGAGAGCCATATGTAGGAAGACTTAATACTGTGAAGGCATCAGTACTACCCACAGTGATGGGCAGTTTCAGCTCTACGCCTATCAAATTCCAACAGCCATTCTTTGCAGAGATCCTTAAATCCATGTGGAATTTCAAGGGGCCCAAACAGCCAAAACAATCTTAAAAAGAATAAAGTTGGAGGATTCACATTTCTCCATTTCAAAACTCACTATAAAGTCATAGTTGATCAAAACAGTGTAGTCCTATCATAAGGTCAGAAAGATAGACTAGTGAAATATAATTGAGTCCAGAAATAAAAGAATGTACCATATGCATCAAAGTACTGCTTGATTTTTGACAAAATACTACTTGTCCCAACAAATGTGTTGGGATAACTGGATATCATTTTTGGTTAAATTCATTTCAAGGTATTTTATTCTTTCAGATGCTAATATAAAATGGAATTGCTTTCTTAAGTTCTTTTGCATATTATTCGTTGCTGGTTTCTACAAACACAACTGCTTTTTGTGCATTGATCCTACACCTTGCAACTCTGGTTTATAAGCTCTTTATAACTGGATATTATCCCAACACATTTGTTGGGACAAGTAGTATTTTGTCAAAAATACAAATGCAAAAAGAGTAATGTTAATCGTAGAGCTATAATAATAAAACTCTTGGCAGACCTTGGATTTGGCAGTGATTCTTAGAAATGGCCTTGAAAGCACAAGGGACTAAAGAAATTAGACTTTATCAAAAATGTGTGAGTGTTACATCCAAGGACATTGACAAGAAAGTAAACAGATAACTTAAGGAA